GCTGAGAACTGGCGACTGTGTAGTACAACTGCAGTACGCGGAGCATCTGGGGAGCTGGAAGATGAGAACTGACTGGCGACTTTCTAGTACAACTTTAGCGCGCGGAACAACCTGTGGAGCTGGAAGCTGAGAACTGGCCACTTTGTAGTACAAGTGTAGTACGCGGAGGAGTCATCTCTCGCTGCTCATTCATCTCTCGCTGCTGAGTCAGCTCTCGCTATAGCCAGGAGCGCGTGCGTTTGACTGGAGGACGCGCATGTTGTAGAGAACGTGGACACTCCTATAGGTCAATTTCTTCTTATAGGAAACTTCCGCCGCCGGCTTGCCCGGGAACTGCTTGTATAAGTGCGATCGCTGTGTACGAAGTTCCATTGCAAACAGTGTCGATAAACCGATCTAAGGTAACGGGTTTACTCTCCAAAAGAACGACACACCTGAACAACAAGAAGAACAATAACAATAAATTGAACAAAACCAAAACAGCAACACGCAAGCAAGAGAAACAGCAACAAGAAACTGCGAGCCATGACACTGCTAGAATTATTCTGACCGCCTAAACGAGTTGCACTTGGACATTGCCCCCAAACCCTGCGTGCGAAGATAGTGTTGCCTACAGCGATGAATTTGAGTGGTTGATTCATGTATATGAACTCGACGCGCAAAACCATGTAAAACTACGAAAACCGCCAGCAAAGTAAAACACAAAACCTTGTAAAACGACAGTGAAAACACGTTTCTTATCACGTCTTCATATCTCCATTGTGTCTCGAGCTGCGTTTCGCGCGTCTTAACAGCCCGTCGGAGGGAACAACAAAGTACCAGGACCACTCGGCTACAACTCCCAAGTACTAACTACCAAGTCTTCCATTACTACTACTACTACTACTACCACTATACTACTACTACTACTACTACTTCAAGCAACTTCGAGACTCAGCTGATCCACGAAAGGAACTGTGCAGGCTCACCTCGGCTCTCATAAGAGAGACACACTCAAGATAAAGCATGCGCGTTCGCAACGCCATATGCCCTGAAGAAACCTCGGCATGAGGAAAACTAGGTAACGCAGCGGCTTCAAACCACCATCAAGTTCAAGTTTCCAAGTGCTCCAAGGTAAAACAAAAGTACCGAGCCTCAAGACGCCAGATTCCGAATATTCAACCGATGTGTGACTGCAGAGCTCACAACCGAGACGGTCGTTCTTGTGACAACGGTGTGACAACGGTGTGGCAACGGTGCGACAACGGTGTGACAACGGGGCCCAAGAGAAATTCAATCTCAGAACGTGCAGGTACAGGTCAATAATGATCAGTCCACCCCTCCCTCGTCATATCGTAGCTTCGTTAGGGACGGTAGGTCTGACGAGCCGTACGTCCCTGCTGCGCGTAAAACTATCAAAAGACCACCTCTGAATCCAAGGTGACCCCGCCCACACACACTTAGGATAGGGTGTACTGAACTGAAAGCGGTGCCACACGCCGGCCTAGGGTTCCATTTCCTAAGAGTACCGGTAGGGAACCAACGAATCCTGGGGGTCTTCAAACGGAGAAGCGGCCCAAAAAGAAAGGACCGAACGACGAACGAACAGGCTGACGACGTTCCGCTCGCATCTGCAGTTCAAAGAAAACCATCAAGTCGTGAGGTTCTTGGCTTAGCCTCTCGCCATTCGAAAAATGGAAAATGGCAGGTACGTTCGGATGATCAGTCCGAATATCCCACTCTGTGACCTAGCTTCGTTGAACTGGGTCAGTCACAGAGTGCCCAGTTCCCCTGCTGTGGCAAAAACTAAAAAGTGAGAAGGCAAACCGAACAAATCCAAAAGAGTCCCTATGATTCCAAGGGTTACACACACAGACAGACAGACAGACAGACAGACAGACAGACAGACAGACAGACAGACAGACAGACCGACCGACCGACCGACCGACCGACCGACGGACAGACAGACAGACAGACAGACAGACAGACAGACAGACAGACAGACACACACACACACAGACAGACAGACAGACAGACAGACAGACACAGACAGAGAGAGAGCAGACAGAGAGAGACAGACAGACAGACAGACAGACAGACAGACAGACAAACAGACAGACAGACAGACAGACAGACAGACAGACAGACAGACAGACAGACACACAGACACAGACACAGACACAGACACAGACACAGACACAGACACA